AAGTCACGTCCTGTGTCTGGACTTCAATGTTCTCAAATATAAAACTAAGGGCTTAGGTTGTGTGGACTCTAGGATTTTGATGAGCTCAAAAGGTTAACTTTGAGGTTACTCGTGGGGTTCCAAAAGGAGTAGGTTTGATGAAGGTGTGGTTAAAAGGGCGGAAGCAGGGCAGCCGGGGTGGGGGCGGGCAGAGGCAGCCTGCCTGGGTGTGGCACCCGGGCTCACGCAAACCTGTTAAACTTGGAGGTTTAAATCAAGGCCTACTCGTGGATTGATTGGCTCATCAATTGATTCATTCTCTTCATAAGACTTCCTCTGACCTTTCCCAGCCCAAAGTGCTTATTCCCTTCCCTGACCTTCCATGGCCCCTCCATGCAGCGTCACTGTCGTCTCTTGCAACATCTCCCCGCTATCTCTTGCTGGCCTGGATGTTTTCCAGACGGCCCCTTGCCTCCTGTTCCATGTCCCGGCTCCCTCGCTGCCTGATCGCGTGGGAGGCTTTCCTTTCTGTCTCCACCTCTCAAAGTTCTGGCTATGGCTTCAGGGGCTGCTCAAAAGCCACCTCTTCCAGGAAGTCTTCCCAGGCAGGTAATTCAAAACTCTCTTTCCAGGTGCTCCTTATTAGCACCCTTCAGTGTCTGTCCATTGACATAAGACAAGGCCAGAACTTTTAGCTTAAGTCCCGAGCCTTGTCTCTCATCCCTGCCTTCCCCATCCCCCCAGAGAGGCCAGGGTGTCTCTTACCTCCACACAGGACCGAAGCTGTTTCTCTTGCCTGGAAAACTTTTCTCCCCCCTGTCCCCATGATGACGACACTTTAGGATTCTAAGACTCCGCTTGTGTCCCCTGTACTGGTAAAGAGTTTCTTGGACTTCTCTTTTGGTCTGTATTCTGTGTTGTGCCATGCGCTAGTCTCATCCATAAGTCTGGTGACCCTGACTTATTTGCCTCTAAAGTCACAGTGCCTGGCACATAGCAAGTGCTCAATGAACATGGCATTGAAGAGTATTCTTCTATGTGTCCATCACAGCACCCAGCAGAGGCTGGGGCCCAGGCAAGTATATGGATGGGACAATTGATTCAAAGGTCTATTTGTAGCAGTCTTGGGTTCTGGGATGGAGCCTTGAAGCTGGTGGAGCTGAGAATATGGCTCCTGCAGTGTGTGTGTGTGTGTGTGTGTGTGTTCTCCGTGGGCATGCTTGTTGGGGTCTTGGTAGCCTGCCATGGGTGGGGGGAAAGCCTTAGTGCCCCAGAGGCTGATGCCTCTCCCTGGACACCAGGCTACCAGCCTACCAACTCCAGAGTCAACACCGGAGACGCTCCTGGAGGACACTCCACAGTCACGGTCACGCACAGACTGCGTTCTGCAGTGGACCAGGGCACGGTCTTGAGCTGCGTGGTCTTGCACCGGGTACCTTAGACAGGTTTCTGACACCTCACATCCTCTGGGAAACTAGCCATGCTGGGCTGCCCGTGTGCCAGGCCTTGGGTGAGGCCTCTGGGTGCAGGATCCGATTTAATTTTCATGACCACCCTTGTTGGCAGAGGGGAAACTGAGGCACGGAGCGGTTGAGTTACTTGTCTTAGACCATGAAGCAGCCAAAGGGAGAGCAGGGGGATGGGGTGGAGCAGCCTTAGCCACAGCCTATGCTCATGGGTGCTATGCCTGCTCCTTCTCACATAATAATGCCTCCTTGAGCCACTGGATTAATGTAAACAGGTGACATTTATGGCATGACTGCCACACAGCAGGCGTGCAACCAGCAGAAGCTGACATTATCAATCTCTCACTCAGGCCTCTCAATGTAAAGGTGAGGAAACCGAGGCACGGTTCACGTAAGTGACTTGAAGGTCACGTCGTGAGTCGGGTGAGGTCTCCTGATGGCCGGCTCTTTTCCTTATGTAAAAATGAGAAGGAAAGAGAATCTCACATTTGGGAAGAATTGAGGCAGAGAGGGAGGTGGTGGGGGACGGCGGTTGAAGACAGATGGGGAGCCAGTCCTTCCTCGTAACTTTCCCAACCACCAGTGAGGACAGTCCTGTTATCCCAATTTGCAGTCCTGCCAATCTGATCGCGGGGGGTGGGTGACTTTCCTGAGTCTGTCAGCTGGTGAAAGAGAGCAGAATTTGAACGTGGGCTTGTCTTTCTCCAAGTCCCGTGCTTTCTTCTGCATCGCTAGCCTAGGAGTGAGGTTGAAGATCAAGGTCAGAGTAGCCACAATTTGGACCGTCGCTTGTGGCAGGGAGTGGACCAGCTGCTGAGGTTGTTCCTTCTGAGAATCCGGAGAGCTCCCGGAGCTGGGGAGAGAGCGGCGTGGGGAGGAGTGGGCCCCAGGGGAAGAGGCAGCTCTTGAAAGTAGAGAGCTGCATTTCTTTTTTAAAAAATATTTACTTACTTTCGAGAGACAGAGAGAGCACGAGCAGGGAAAGGGCAGAGAGGGAGAGAGGGAGACACAAAATCTGAAGCAGGTTCCAGGCCCCAAGCTGCCAGCACAGAGCCCCACGCGGGGCTTAAACTCACGAACCGTGAGATCATGACCTGAGCGGAAGTCAGATGCTTAACCGACTGAGCCACCCAGGTGCCCTAGAGATCTAGACTTCTTCCTTGCAGTACTGAGGGAGCCAAGAGGTGCCATTTTGTCTCTGTGCATCCAAATAGCCTGGCTGGTGGGGTGACTTTCAAAGGGCAGAGAGTGAGAGAGAGTTTCCTCAGGTTGGAGGAAACATCTCATAAATCTTAAGTTTTATTTTGAAAATTCATGCAGAATTTGCCTTGTTTCCCACAGTATACCCACATGTGCAAGAGGAATGGCTGAATCTAACTACATGAGCCCAGCTGAGCAGCCCAGATGAGGTATGCCAAGGGACACTGTCTTGGGCCACATCCTGTTCAACACTTACCAATGGCTAGAATGGACTTACTATTCATGGTGTCCCTGTAAGATAGGTTGTGTTACCCCTTTTACAGGCCAGGTGATTCCCCCATGGGGCTGAACCGCCTTGTCCCCGAGGGGCGTGTGGGAAAGTGGGAAGGGTGGACGTTTCAGGGAAGGTGAGAGGCAGGGTTTGAAAAGGCCTTGGCCAGGCTGAAATGGGCTCAAATTCATGCATAGCAAGATGAAAGGCAAGAGAGACCTTTGCTTGGGGTTCAGAATACCCACCAGACACACACAGGATGTGGGATACCTAGGTCAACAGCATAAGTGAAAGAGGCTGGGTTTTTAGTTGACAGGAAGTCTCGTATGAGTCAACAGGGGGGAGGTGGCAGCCAGCAAAGCTAATGTCACTGTAGCATCCACCAAGTGGAGGTACCACGAGTGGGGGAGGGAGGAGATACTCCCGAGTCAGTCTGCATCCAGGAAATGGAGCTCAGGTCTGGGAACCTGAGTCAGGGAAAGGGGCAGAGAGCTCACCAGGCTCTCTGACCCAGAGGCTGGGGGTGGACACTCCTGGCTGCTGCTGGACACTCTCCTCGTCCTCTGGCATCCCCAAAGCGTATTAGTCTATTTCTGAACAATTACAGCCCCTTCTTGCTCTTATCCGATTGCCTTGCCTGCCTCCAGAATACGCTATTCATTCAACTTCGGGTTTTATTCACGTAACCTGAGTACCTGTGGGGATTCCTTGTGACCTCGTTTCTACGTGAAGTCACGTTCAAAGAAGCCCAATCCAGCAAGCAAAAGAGAGAGCTTTCCATCTTCAGGCACACCTCTCAAAGAGATGAAAAAGAATGAGGTCCCTGTTTCCTTTTCTCTCTTGCTATCTTGGCCTTCAAGTCTTCTTTAGAAACTTTGACTCTTCCAAGGCACCCCAAACCCCCCGGGCATCCATAATCGACCTGACACGCCATGACTCTCGAGTTTCTGCATCCCCATTATACACAAAGGACTCAACACCTATGTCTTTTTTTTTTTCTTCTGGTCCCTCCTTCCCTACGCCCTCTATGTTCTTCTTGAGTTTTCTTTCCACTTCACTGCTGACCCAAATTCCTCCCTCCGACAGGGTGGGGGGGCTCAGAGACTGATCTGGCAAGCCAGGATGCTCCCCCGCGACCTGGGTCTCTCCAGCACTGTCTGTCCCTTCCTATCCTCCCCGGAACTGCGCTGGCCAAGATGGAGCTCTGAGGGAGCTGAATGAGAAGAAACAGAGCAGGCCGAGACCGCATTTTTGGAGAGTGGGGTGTGTGGGGCAAATATGGCGACGGGAGGGATGGTGGGGACGTCGGGAACACTCCGCATGCAAAGTTTGTCCTCGGTGTTTGTCAGCACATGGTCGCTGTGGGTGGAAGAGCCTGGCCACCCGTGCGTACAGATCCTACCTCAGATTGCCGTGTGATGGCTACTTGTAGTGAACAGCAGCAGACAGAGGGCCTTCCCCAGAAGTTCCCCATCACCTTGCATGGTTCATTTCCATGGCCATGGGCTCCTCTTCTCCACAGGGTTGACTCTCGTTTCTTTAATGGCATACCCTGAGATGTCCTGGGGGAAGGCTGGCCGGAGAGACAGCACTCACCACAGATTCCATGTGCTGGGCCACACTTCCCTGCTTCCTCTGCAGCTAGATTGGGGCCCCATGGCTTGTTCTGCCCAATGGGCTGAGACCAAGGCAATCGCGGGTTAATGTGCCTCCTCATTCTGCCATAGGGACTTTGGACGCCCCGTGTTCCAGACGGCATGCCAAAAGGGGGAGGGTCTCGCAACTCACAGGGCACCTGATATGCGCAAGAAATAAACTTCCATCTCAAGATTGCGATTTCAGTCTTGTCACTGCCACATGGCCTGGCCTGGCCCCGTGAATGGTCAGAGCGTCAGAATTAACGGAGTAATTGCTATTCTTGAGCTCTTTAATGTGCGGAAGGAAGAAGCTGTCTCTGGAGCCACGCGGGGCAGCTGATTGACGCTTTCCCTGACTGTCATCATCCAGCACAGATGGCACTTCCTGTTTGGTAACACCTCACGTGGGCTTCTTCATCCCCCACTGACTCTGCCAGTCACCATCCTACACAGTCAAATGTGCACAGTATTAGAAGTTTGCCAAGAGCACATCCTTGTGTCTGCCAAGGAGTGTCTGTTAGAGGAAGAGTATTCTAGCAGACGATGTTCAGAGGAGAAATGGACCACCCCAGGAGGCAGCAAACCCCTTGTCTCTGAGGTGAGCACGTGGAGGTTCGATGCCCGTCGGGGATTTGGGGGGAGGGGGCATGAAGATGAGACGCCATCCCAGAAAGGGGAGGGCTCGGTGTGGGAGGACAGGCTGGACCAGATGATTTTTAAGTCCCGTGCAACCCTGAGAGTCTCCAGCCCAGAGTCTATTTCTTTTTTTGGAAAGTGGATGAATGGATAAGCTTTGGTCACTAAGAAAGTAAAGACCTTAGGAGATCAAATAGCCTGGCTTAACGAGCAAGTAAGTATCATAACACTAACATTATCCTTGCTTAAAGGTAGATGCTCATGAGATCAACGTTCTCGGCTCCCCTGAGGTCGACAAATGGTGACGAGTAGTCACGAAGGCATGTGAAGCATATCTGTAATTTACATGTCAACCGCAAGGAGGGCTGAGCTGAGGGAGGAGTCACAGCCTTGAGACAGACCCAAGTCATCATGATAACAGCCCCGTAATAAGGGCATCGGTGCTTTATCATGTGCAAAGTGTTCTCCGTGACATCCTGAGTGCTTCGAGATTACTATCTCCGAGCTTATTGTCATACATCATACATTATCATATATCTCTGAATTTATTATCATAGCTTCTGGAGGAGAACGCCTGCCATTCTCACTGTATGGATGGGCAGGGAGATTTTCAGAGATTGTTCCCACCCAGGAACACATAGCAAGTTAAGGGGGGATATCCCAAGACTTGAACCCAGATCCTTTGATTGGAAGTGATGGATTTTAAAATAAAAAAGCATGTCTACTCCTGGCACTAGAAGGTGGGACCAAGCTCCATTCGCATGCTCCTTGGTTCCTGAGGGATTTCTGCTTTCTGTGTGCAAGATTGTGTGGGGCAAGGTAGAGTGAGGATAAGGATAGCCCTGAACTGCTTATAGGAAGAAGGATTTTTGGGGGGGGGGAAGTGATGAACTGAGGCACAGAGTGCTGGAGTTCAGACCCTAACTCTTTGTTTGACCCATTTCACATCCATGGCACCCCAGTTTCCTCATTTGAGAATGGGAAGAAAGATACTGACCCACCTTGAAGAATTTCCGTGAGGACCCAGTAAGAAGACGGGCTGAAAACATTTCGAAAACCCTACGAAGACCAAAGTTGTCATTTCAAGAAGGAATTCATTCAGCGGCAGGTAACAGGGGCACCGGCTACAGATGGTTTTAAACAGATGCGGCGTTATTTTTCCCTGGACACAAGAGTAGCACAGGGCAGGGTGGCAGGTGATGGGATTATGCCGCGGAGGGCCTGGCCTTTCTGTTTTCCTGTTCTCCCTTTATCCTCTTGCTGCTACCTTATAAACACAAGATGGGTGTCCTATCTCCAGGGTTGCATGCCAGCTCCAGGCAGGACAAAGAAGGGAGACAGAGGAAGAACCGGAATGAAGAATGGGAAAGTCTACTTAGGAATGCAACAGCTCATTGGCCAGAAGTGCAATCAAATGGCCGGGTTCTAGATACGCGGGAGGCTGGAGGCGTGAGCACTTTGTGGAGGTGTGACCCGGAACAAATCCAAGGTTTTGATGGAAACGAGGGAGAGGCTGGGACCCACAGCGGGTGGCGGCCCGCAGTGCCTGCCATGGCTCCAGTACTGAGACGGGCGCTCAATTCACAGGGATCATTTGACCTCGGTCTCTGGACAGAGCGAAGGCAAATTGGGTTGCCTCATGCCTTGAAGAAAAAAATAGATCTACAGGATCCCGCTGTCAAGATGGGAAAGGGAGGTGGGCCGCGGATAGAGGAAGGCTGTGTGCGGCTGCGGGTCTGGGCATCTCCACGGTGTCTCTCCCCCCACCTTCCCCTGCTCCAGGCTCTGTTTCCTTAGCCTCCTTCCATGGGGCTGGGCCCGGGCGGGCTGAATTCGAGGAGCTCATCTCTAGCCTCTGTGTTTGTGTACGTCTCCACCCGAAGATGTCTAACCACAGACTTCCTCTTGACTCCTGGCAACAGAGAGAAAACAAAACCGCAGCAGCTTTCATTGCTGAAAACACAAAACTGCCTCCTTTGCCTAATAAGCCCAGACGGAGGAGCTTTACTTCTGCTCGCGACTCCAGGCCAAGGAGTCTCGGGTGGGCAGTCACATCGCCAGACTGTGCGGTGGGAGCAAGCCACCTGCTGGGGGCCGGGACCCGGAGCTCCAGGAGCCTGCATTACTGGCCGGCGGGGCTCCAGGGAGACCCTCACAGATCAGGGGGCCCCAAGATACCATTGGCCTCTCCCTCCCACCAACTCTGGTTTCAAAGCACTTGTTTAGTGTATATATATATATATATTTTTTATCCCCTTAGTTTCTGGGCTATTAATTTCAGCTATTGGTCAATTCCCATTTTGTGCTTTCCTTTTTTGTTGGCTTATTTTTCTAATTCCTTATGATGCGTATTCAGCTCCTTTATTTTTAGTCTTTCTTCTTTAATAAGGAAGGCGTTTCAGGCCATAATTTCCCCCTGAGTTGAGCTTTTTTGGGGGTCCCGTAGGTTTTGAAATCAAATGTTCCTCTTTTCATCTGTTTCTAGATGGTTTTTGAGTTTCGTTTTAATATTTCTTTTGATCCATGGGTTATCTAGACCTCTGTTTGTTAATTCCCAAGCACTTAAGAATATTTTCACCCCCTGGGGCGCCTGGGTGGCGCAGTCGGTTAAGCGTCCGACTTCAGCCAGGTCACGATCTCTCGGTCCGTGAGTTCGAGCCCCGCGTCGGGCTCTGGGGTGATGGCTCAGAGCCTGGAGCCTGTTTCCGATTCTGTGTCTCCCTCTCTCTCTGCCCCTCCCCCGTTCATGCTCTGTCTCTCTCTGTCCCAAAAATAAATAAAACGTTGAAGAATATTTTCAGCCCCATTATTTTTTTATTTAAAAATTTTGGATTACGGTCAGAGAATGCGACCTATAGACTCTCCAGTTTTAAATGAAAAGATTTTTTTCTCTGTGTCCAAGTATGTGGTCGAACTTTATAAATGTTCTATGGGGAAGGACAAGCTGAGCTGGTGAGACCAGCAGAAAAGAATGATGTTCTAAAATGTTCTTGTTCCGCAGATAAGTCGCCCAGTTTCGAATCTTGCTTCTACCTGTCTCCAGCTGCGTTCCAAGGATGAAATGGAGTATTTTTTTTTTTTTGAGAATTTGTTTTCCATCTTTAAAATGGGAGCAAAAGGAATATCCACCTCTTAACATTTCTGCGAAGATGGTGTGAAATTGTGTAAGTAAACAGTATATATGCCCTATTGCTATTTTTATTGTTGGTTTGTTATTTTTGCAGAAAGGGAGGAAACTTTACTGTTAGTGCCCTAAACTTTCTCCCTGCCCCAGAACCGTGGCTTCTGGTTATCGAGAGGCTTGGCAGGAAAGAGGAAATGGATGGCTCAGGGAAGCCACCACCGTCCTTGTGAAGAGAGCCACCTGAGGTGGGGGCCACTTGCCCAAGCAAAAACAGAGATTTGGTGGCAAGGCCAGGTTTCAACCTCAGGTCTCAACTGACCAGTCCCTCTCTCTCTGCTGGCGGTCACTCTGTGGTTTCTCTCTTGAAAGAAGAGACTGTTGACCAAAGGTTGGCCTCTGGGATGAGGGAGGGGCTGGAAGCTTCTGATGGGTGGCCACCTCTGAGCGTTGCCTTATTACAGCTTTGCCATCTGGGAAGGGCGACTCTGAGGTCAGCAAGCTCCAGGAGAAGCTAGAGAAAGAGGGTTGGTTGGGAGCGGTTGGCTGCTTCGGGCACTGCTGTTTCACGGCTCGGTGGGGGGCAGAGGGAATCACAGAACAGAATTACGAGTCAGGGGGGGTCTGGGCTCTCTGATTTGGGCCATTGATCTTAGGAGCAAGACCATTCATTCGCTGAGGATTCCCTGTTTCTATCAGCAATCATGTAACCATGCTGTGTTTGGACCATGCGTGGACAAGGATGCCTGTAACATATATGGATTTGTCTAGGCAGCGGGACTCTGACTTCAGATAGGAGTGTGTGCCGTGGGCTAGGCTGCCGGCAGGTAAGGCCTGGGATTGGCTCCTCCATATAAAATCTAAAAAAAAAAAAAAAAAAAAAAAAAAAAAAAAAATGATAAGACCTCTAATGATTATTATGAAAATTAAGTAAGTCAATGTTTGCAAAAGTGCCTTGTAAATCGCAGCACAAATACCGAAGAAAGTCATGGTGTGTAGAATTTGGTCTGAAAATGCTAGCTGACGCTTGACTGTGTCCCCAGCTCTTCGCTGGAAGCTGCAGAGAAACCAAATGGGGTTAAGCCTTGTTCGCCCATCGTGGGGCTGGTGGGCTTTCTCAGCGTGAAACCCTTTCCCTGCCCCTTCCTTCGAACACGCTTCGATTAAGCACCTATTAATAGGCCAGGTTCTGGGCTAGAAGCTGAATAGTATGGTGATCACCGTCTCCTAGGGGACAGACGCTGAGCAAACGGGTAGGTTGCAAAGCCCTGCTGGGGAGCCAGGGATTGTCACAGAGAAACGGATGGGTTCAAAGGGCACAAGGCAAGCCTCTGAGCCTCTGTTGCATCATCTCTAAGATCCCGACGGGTGGCCTGAACGTTCTCTTGGAAATCGGTAGCTTGGTTGGAGAGAGTAACCACGAGGTGGGGTGGGCGAGTGGACAGAGGCCAATTTACGCCGGACCTAGCACTGGGGAAGAGGGAAGCAGTGGTGATCTTGGCCCTTGGAGAGTCCATAGTGCAGTGGAAAGACAAGAAAGCAGCCAGTGACAGCGTAGTCTGGTCTGAGTTTTGGCAGGCTAAGTGAGGCCAAGAGGTACGGGAGCCCAGAGGAGGAACCCTTTTCCCCAGCCTGGGAAGTTGGAGTGGAAGTTAGCAAAGCAGAGACGCAAGCTAAGGGAATTCTAGGCAGAGGGAACCGAATGAGCAAAGGCATGGAGTTCTATCCAGCTAAGACACAGAATCTGAAATGGGGTGCGATAAGGCTGCAGGAGGTACACAGTGAACTTGAACGCCGTGGTGGGGAACTTGAACTTTACCCTGTATGTAGCAGGGAGCTACTTTAGACACAGAAGCATGAGATAAAGGATTAATCAGGCTTTGCCACCAGGATGGCAACTGCGAGTGGGTCCAGGGGGGGCAGGCTGCAGAAGTCCTAGAGGCCAACGTGAAAGGCACTTGTCTGGGGTTGAGCCCATCGTACAGCAAGTCTAGAGTGCCATTGAACTTCCACGGACTCAGCGGCAACCTTCCCCACACAGTGCCCCTGGTCCGGGGAGGATGGGGCCCCGAGCTGAGAACTCTCCTGCAGGGCCCAGGCCTTCAGAACAGCCCTCCGGGGGGATGGCCCCCTCCAGCCTCGATGGGCTAGTTCAGGCTGCTTTAGCTGGGGCCCATTTGGCTGCAAGGGACATTTTGCTCAAGCCAAATGATGACCTTGTGGAAGGGAGATGGCGAAGTTTCACAAAACCCAGGGGTGAAAGCTTCAGCCCCGCTTCTGAGGAACTAAGAGTCCAAAACTGCAGAGTCCTGCCTAAGGCTCTTTTCCCACACTCGCGGCTCTCCTTCCTCCTTCTTCCCTCCATCTGAGGGCCAGCTCTCTCTGGTAGAGGAGAGCCCCACTGCCCGGCTTCTCCTCCTCACCGCCAAATGCCCCGTAGTGGCGGAGGAGAGGACCTCCCTCCGGGCGCTGGGATCCGGGCAGTCTGAGGGGCTGCGCCTCGGGTCAGGGGGCCTGGGGCCAAGAAAGGGGGTGTGTCCTAGACAGCAGGGCTCCAGAGCCTGCTCCTCTGGGTCTGTTGGGGGGTGGGCTTGTGGGTGGGAGGGGTGCCGGCGCTGGATTGGCCCCCAAGGGCTGTCCATTCTATTAGACCCGGTGAGCCTGCCCTCCAGGTGCACAGTAGTCAGAATCCACAGAGACCTCCACTCACCTTTTCGGGAAGGGAGGCAGACCAGAAAAATCCCCATGTTTGCTACTGTGGACAGTGAAAGCAGATAAGTAAAGGGTCCGAGAAGAGCTTGCCTTGGGGGTGGTGGGCAGGGGTGCAGGAGGGCTGGGCCCTTTTGCTACGGGCTTGGGGAGCCGGTTCAGAGCCCGGCGACCTGGTAGGAGGTGGCCGATCTTAGAGGAAGAGGCTGAGGCCCCTTGGGCTGGAGGCTAACGGGGGCAGAGCCAGCATCTTGGGGCTGAGGAGGGGCCCAAGACTTCTGGGGTGGGCATGCGAGGTTCCTTTGTTTCAGATGCCCCGTGGACTTCACACGGCACCAGCTGGAGGAACCAGAGACCATTGGGTGGTTTTCCCCAAATGTGGAGGAATCTCTCCCCTCCCCCACCTCTGGTGTTGCTAGACGCTGGGCTTCCTGGGGGTTCTCATAAACTCAGGAGGCTCTGTAATCGTTTCCATATAGAATGGTTTCCCTGAATAGCGAAGGAGGCCAGCTGTAGCTGATGGAACACAAAACAGCATGCGCTCGTGGGGGATAAACTTGAACGCCTATCCCTGTGCCTGGCACGCCGCACCCCCTCCCCCCCAACTCCAGGAGGGAGGAGGTTGCCCAGTGGTTAAGCACGTGGCCTCCGGTCTCTGCACCACACGCTTCAACTCCGGCACGATTGCTCACCGGTCGAAACCCCAGGCACATTACTTAAATCTTGCCGGGTCTCAGTTTTCTCTCCTGTGAAATGGGCATGATGATAGCCCGAAGAAAGGTTGTGGTCCTCAGGATTTAATGAGACACCTGGAATAGCACGCAGCACGGGTGTCTGGATGGGCTCACTAACACTAGCGGTTTCGACGGTCACTGTCCCTGCTTTGGCACGTGCTGCAGGGCTCAGCCCAGTCCCTTGTGGTTTCTCTATTGGTTTCCAGTGCTGTTACAACATACCTGATGCGCTAACCATCCCCACGTCCTCCGTGCTTGCTAAAGTCTCCCCACAACTTGCTTGGGCTCTTTCCTCCTCTGTGAACCTTCCTTGTGAGAGTCGCCTGGCCACAACCTCACCGCTGCTTGGGGTGCTGCCCGACCCGCCCTCCTTCCTGAAAGCGTGCCGCAGACCCGGGAAGGAATTCGCCACTTCGCCTCCAACTCCCCAGGCTCAGAATTTCCACGAATCTCTGTGAGAGGGAGGCAGCAGCACGCAGCACGTCACGTCACGGTGCAGCTCTAGGGTGGCACAGCTGTAGCCCTAGCTGTGTGACCTTGGCTTGCCTGGGCCTCGGTGTCCTTGCGTGTCACATGGAGACAATGCAAGCAGAGCTTTGTTCACAGGGCTGTGGTAAGACACGTAAAGCAGAGACAATGCCTCCTGGCACCTATGAAGGGCTCACAAAAGATTGGATATTTCTATAAAAATAATCTCCAAAAGCCTGGCTTTTAATGGCTGTGATATCTACTGTGTGGGTAGATCATAATTTCATTAACCAGCCCCTTGTCGTTGGGCATTTAGACCGCTTCCACTCTTTCGCTATTATAAATAATGCTGCGGTGAACATCTTGTATATAAATCTTTCTGTTTATCTCTGCTTCTTAAAAAAATTTTTTTTTCCAACGTTTTATTTATTTTTGGGACAGAGAGAGACCGAGCATGAACGGGGGAGGGGCAGAGAGAGAGGGAGACACAGAATCGGAAACAGGCTCCAGGCTCCGAGCCATCAGCCCAGAGCCCGACGCGAGGCTCGAACTCACGGACCGCGAGATCGTGACCTGGCTGAAGTCGGAATCTCTGCTTCTTTAAAAGAGCTCCCCAAAGATTGCTTGTCTTAGGACCAAGCCCCTGCCCCCCAGACTTTCCAGTGATGCCCTTTGAAATAAAAGCAAAGCCTATTTTCCACCAGGGAAAGGAACATATGGAACATGTTAACCAAGAGGTGGTTCAGGAGGAAGGTAGAAATAGGTTCAAGATGGGTTTGGATCCATTTCAGGATGTCTGACACAAAGCCAGTGATACAGCTCCCCTCGAGCCTCCTTCCCGGAGCGAGGCAGAGGCTGATCCTCGGGGACCACTGACTTCTTTCTTTGAGAGAATTCCAAAGGGCTTTGATGTTCTTGGTGTGGGAGAAGCAACAATGACAGGTCAATAAACGAAGCCAGAATGTGTGGACAATCCGGGACTCCTCCAGCCGGTAGGGGGCGATATCGCCTGCTTCTGTCTTCTAGTTGGGCCTAGGGTTTCTCCCTAACAAGGACTTCCTTTGTTGTTGTCTTAAAACTTTGGCTTACGCTTTATATATTTCTCTCGCCTGTTTTCCTTCCTCTCCTCCCA